TGTGTAAAATCAGGAAATTCAGATTTGTACTTCTCAGAACACACATGGATGAGATATAAAAGATAACACCTATGTGATCTGTAGTGTTTTATGCAGGATAGAGTTATGCCATGGCACGGTGATTTTCAATTTGCCTCTTTTATGCCTTTTAGAAGTAATCTGTAGACATCTGTCCTATGGTAACCAGAATTAAAAAGCTGGAAATCACTGCTAAGCAGTCTCTGCAATTAACGTAGGTTGATAATCCATTCTCTGACTGGCTACTTTATAGCAGTGTGATATCTCAGTACTTTTTGAAACACCAAAGCACCAGGCTGTGCAATGAATTGGTCTTATATTCAGAATACTAGACCTCTGTTTCAATCACCAGGCATTGCTAATCCTTGGGAACTCTTGGATGTAGTTTATCAAGTCAAGTTTTCTAGAAGACAGTGTCTTTTTTGTTGGATTGATGCTGTCTGATTTTCAGATGTGAGTTTAAAATTATACCTGTTCAGGCTTAAACAAATGTACTGGAGAAAGAACTTGAAAATCTGGTGGTTTGCAACTTGGTTTTGACATTGTCTTAAATATTAATTTCTAGTTTATTTGGTAAAATAATGATGTTCAGAGGACCAATCCAAAATTTAAGGACAACATTTAAGTGAATTCTGTGAAAACTGCTGTGTTATCTATTTAAAATCTGCTGGATTACCTGTTGATTCGATGTTTCCAGCACAAATAGGCATGAAACAGTATCCTTCTTTAGTCAGAAGAAAATTAAGGACAGCCACACTTAGCTTGGCAGCTGAAAAATCACTTTTGCTACGAGATTGTGCATATAAAGTAACTACAGAATTGGGGACAACTATTTTTGATATCAACCACGTGCATGTGAAGCCTGCCAGTGCATGTTCAGCGCTCAGCCACCATTTGTAACACTTCCAGGAGAATTCTGACTTGTGCTGTTCATCAGTTGTCTCCATATAAATGCATTTGTTACTGGCCAAATGTCCTGCTTAGCTCTGAAAGCTTGCTGTCATGTGGTTTTGGTATTAGATTGACACAAGAGCTCAAGGGGGTGGTCTAAGGTAATTTTCAGTTGTTTCTTTGACTTCAGTGTCTGGTTTGGGGGGTTTTTTCTGTTTATCACTTCTTAGATACATATGTGGTATTAGTTCAAATTATTCCTAGTGTAGTAGCAATTTAAGGCTTCTGTGCTCTTCATGGCTTTTGAGAATTGGTTGGTAGAAAAGGTGATGTGTTACTGCCACTAGTGTTACATTATTCTGTAATCTGTATTTTAAGAAGTAGCTGTGTAATTTCCAACTTCAATTTTGTCTATGCAAGCAAAGTCACATGCTCAGAAATTGAATGCATGTTCAGACATTCCAGAAACTTCTCATTTACCCTTCTTAAAAGTAAGGCTTGTCTTGCTGTGATAGTTGGTACAGGTCTGAAGTCAATACTTGCCAACATGAGAATGGTCATCCTTTTCTATTGTCCAAAACATTTATCTCCTTTTATGTAGTTGGTTTGATGTTGTTTTCCATGTGATGGAGATCTGTGATTCCTCACCATGACAGCTCATGGTAAAGCAAGATAAGCCATGTAGGCAGCTTGTCACATATGTGATGAGAATTATCTGACAGAATTTGGACAG